GGGGGGGGGGGGGGGGGGGGGGGGGGTATAATTTTGTACATGAGAAATATACACCTTCGTAGTTGAACGCATTCCATCCTTAACAGACCAAGAATATATATAAACTCAAATAATTATTTGATTCTTAGTCGGGGCATAATTCCAAGTTCGTTAGGCCATCGAATAGGATTAAAATCTGATCCATTGACATCACAATGATACATGAAACCATGCTTGCACTAAATCAATCTGGGAAAATTATGATTGAGCCGTAATTAACTAAGGTATGAGCTCGTATATTTTAGGCCAATCATGGTTCAGGTTTAGCGAGCACCCCGCTTGGCTGAGCTGCGCTCCACCATGCGTGACATCACTTCTGACGGATGGCAGCCGCCCACTCTGTGATAGGGAAAACAATGAATCCTGCGTGATTTGATATCGCGGATGGATCGGGTCGAGTCGGATGACGGACAAATCCACTGCCACTCTGCTGGTAGGGACGCCCCGCGTCTTGTCTGTTTGTCTGAGTCCAAACAGAAACCCTTGTACCCTTTCTGGTCGGCGGCACTCGACCCGTGGACCCCTACTGACACTTGTTGGAACACAGTAAGCAGCCAGGGGCCGACGTGGATGGCCATTGGGAATCTGCCAGGTCGAGCGAAAAAAAATATTGTGCACCTGCCCCCGCGCCTGTTCTCCTACCCCTGCAGATTACCGCCACAGACACTACTATTGCCCGGGGTGGGAGGGAGAGGAAGCCAGCCATAGAATTCACCCATTCACTGAGGCAACAAGAAAGAAGAATTCCGTCTCCAAACAACGGGGGACGGCCACGAATCCAAGCCCTAGTTCCAAAGTTCACTCCCTCGATTTCTCCGCGCGATTTCCACCCTGGACCGAGCCTTCTTACTTTTGAATCCTTTACCAACTCTTCCCAATTCGAGCTCTCGACTGACCCCTCTATCCCCAATTCGATGCCCCGGTCCCGCAGGTTTCCTTTCCTGACTCTGTTTTTGCTGTCCCCAGTCCGTATTCGGAGCCCCAAATTGGCGCTATTCCGCGCCGAAAGCTGATCTTTGAGGGGTCTGGAAGAAGTTTAGGTGGTGCTGAGTGGAAATCCTGGGGCAAGTTCGATTCTGGAAGATGGTATTTTGCTCAGAAATTGGTGGATTCACCTGGTGCCAAGTGTTTCAGTAGTCTGGGAGTTCCGAGATCTTCGTACTATAAGGTGGTCCTTTTTTATATCAAAATTTAATTTTGAATGATTTTTGTTTCTTTTTTTGACATTTGGAGTGAGTGAGAGAGAGAGTGAGCGTTGTTGCTGCCCTTTAGGAAATGACGCTTGTTTAGGTGTTATAGTTACGATCTTTTTCACCTTTATTTTTTATGTGTTGTTCTCTTATATTTGATCTCCGATTTAAAACGAAAAAGCATCTCTTTTGGTGGGTATATGATGCAAAATTGTGCACGTAAAGCTAAATTTTCGAAGGCCATTTATTGTGCATGAGCTCTTCTTTCGTTTTTTTTAGTTTCATTTTTCTTTTGGCGATTATGCTTGACCTTTATATGTCCCCAACTTTCTTGCACTGATTTTCTTCTTTGAAGAGCTCACATGAGTCTCTTTCTTTTCTTGGGTATTGTAGTCTGCAAGAATAATAACCATATGAACAAGTTTAACAAATTATGCAATTGGATATTGCGATTTTCTGTTACATCTTTTTGTGAGTCTTGCTTTCTTCAAGAAAATAAATTGTATTTACATTGTTGCACGAATCCCTATGGTAAAATTTGTTTCCACTGAGTGACAGGAATTTTGGCAAAAGATGCACTAAAATTCTTGGATGCCCCCATCAGTTCGGTTTAAATATTACTATATTCTAATAGTGTTGTAAGTTGCAGTCTTTTCTCATGTATCACGCCAGCAAATTTTCAACTGTTTCAATGGCACCTGACAATGGCCAAGGCACTGAGCAAGTTGGTAGCATTGGAATTTCGGGTGGATCAAGTGTAAATAATCCAGTCAACCCAGGAGGAAGCGGAAAACAACGCTTGCGGTGGACTTCGGATCTTCATGACCGCTTTGTTGATGCAATCACTCAACTTGGTGGACCAGATAGTGGGTATTTTCTTTCCAGTCATGGTTGATTGTTGGCGTGCTTGATTTATCCTATCTATAGTGTAGTGGGTTCTAATGTGGCAGGTTCTAGTGTAGCACTCACTTGTTATCATATTTACTGTGTACTTTTCCTCTGGAATTTTAATTTCTTCATGTTTCTCAGCTTTCTTAAGACTGTGTATCTCAAAGAAAGATACCATAGTTAAAATGGTTTTTCAGTAAAATTGTCAGTCAAGATTTTTCCACATTTTCTCATTAAATTGTTCTAATGGACTTAGTGCAATGATTAAGAAAATTTATATGATAAATCGGATCAAAAGATCCCTTATTTACTAATTAATTTTCCTTTGCTCACTCCTTCCTTCCTACTTGCCTGGTGCTATCCTATCCTAATTCCACTTAATTATCTTTATAAAAGAATTTTCTTACAGAATTCACTAGAAATTGAAAGCATTCTTAATTTTTTTCTTGTGTGAAGTTCATGCCACAAGAAGATGTTCATTATGGTCGGAAACTTGTCAATTTTTTTCTTGTGTGAAGTTCGGTCCATATGAAGATGTTCAATATCGCCGAAAACTTGTCAATTTTTTTCTCGTGTGAAGTTCGGTCCACATGAAGATGTTCAATCTGGTTGAAAACTTGTCAAAGCCAAAACACAAGTTTCAAATTTCTTGTAAAATCTATGTGTTCCTGGAGTTCTCAGGACATTATTGTATGAACCACCAAAAATCACTCACTACAGTACAAATGATGAGTGACAACTGAGATATGAATAGGAGCATACAGTTGTTTTGGAACTTTTTGCGGGTCCTTAAATTGTACCACAAGTTGCCTTTAATCGCTGCATGCGCAATTTTTCTGTCTTTATGTACTGTTGCTATGCAATTTAAGTACTAAAAAGTCTGCATTTCTGTTGGGATTGATCTTCAGATTGACTAACAACCTGGTGATGAACCATTATTTTAGGTTTTTTTCAGTTCTATGTTCTTTTTTCCTTTTAGTTTTGATAAAGCAATTGATGCACTTGATGCACTTGATGCTGGGAAGCATGGTTTAGAGTTTCTTATATGGCTGCTCGATAGACTGATATTACTGATACCTGTTGCTGCCAATTACCAAGGTGGTTTACTTTCTGGATTGGATACATGAACAACATTAGCTAAATAACTTCAGGAATACTCAATATTTTGCTAAATGCAAGATTCCCTACTTCTGATACAATTATTACAATCATGACTGTGGCAGATTCGATTTATGTCATAGTTTCACCAAAATTTGAGACCAGAAATAACTACTGAGAGAAGCTCTAACCTATCACTTTATCAAAATGCATGTTTTAGCGACTTCATCTTCTAGGTCTTGCCACAACACTTTGTTTTGACATTTCTGTTATTCTCTGTTCTTTCCTTTACTTCCAGCTATTGTACTTAGCTAAACCAACTTGTTTCTGTTTCATATTTCAGTGAATAAGATATTCTTATTGACAAATACTTTTTAAGTCCAAGGAAACTTCCTTTAGTGTTATTCTCCTCTGCGAGGGTGTCAACATCTGGCCTGACCATCTCCTATTAAGTTAATTTTAGTTCTAATTGTTTTCTTCATATAAGCTGATTATAATTTATCCTAAAAATATTTCAGGAGCAACTCCGAAAGGTGTTTTAAGAGTAATGGCTGTACCGGGCATTACAATATATCATGTGAAAAGTCATTTACAGGTATGGGTTCTTCCTTCAAATTGAGATTGTTTGCTTTTTTCCCTAGAATTTATTTAATCTTTATTTTTTCAATTTTGCAGAAGTACCGCCTTGCAAAGTATTTACCTGATTCTCCAGCTGATGGTAAAAGTTTAGTTATATGTTTATTTATGCATCTGAGGGAGATTCAGTATTGGTTTTTTTCTTGAAAATGTCTCCTGGAAATATTTTCTGTTGGTGTGAGTCAAGATCAGGATAAAGGATATTTTTATTGTAGGTTCTAAAGATGATAAGAAAGATTCTGGCCATACCCACTCTGACACGGACTCTGCACCGTAAGTGCTCTCTTGAACTTTTTGGTGGTTAGTATCAGTATCCTTTGGCTAGCATGTTGATGCAATTTGTCAAAAATTCAACTCTGCTTAAAAACTAAGAAAGTTCTGTTCTTTGCTAAAGTGATCATTTCCTACATTTATTTTCTTTTAAAACCAATTATGTCCAGTGCTGCATTTTTGTGTTGAATTCATAATTTTACTTGTTCAGTAGATAAATATCCTCCCAAGGATGTCTATGGTTACATACAAAGACTAGGTTGGATCTGACTTCTGCTATTGGCAATAAACTGAGTTTGTATTGTCAAAATTGGTTGTTTGAATCATACACCTTTCAACATCTTATGATCTACTTCATCTTCCAGAAGTGCACAATTTAATGAATCCTTGAAAATGCAAATGGAGGTACAAAAACGGTTGCATGAACAGCTTGAGGTATGTTTTATTAATTGGTCATGCTTCTTGTTACACACTTAAAATCTTTTTTCCTGTTAACTTGAGATCCAAAGGAATTTTTCTAAAGAGAGTTGTTGGAAAAATGGGAATTTTCATGAAATTTTTTGTTCCATTTGCCAAGTTTAATAACTAGATTATTGTACTCATGTTTCTTTGTGTGCTTTAATTTTATCATTTATGTTTGGACATGTTAGGACTCTAGGTAGGAGAGTCCTAATTGAGTTTCATTGAATGGGGCATTCATGTAAAACCTATCTAGCCGACCTCGATTAAAGAGGTGAAGAGGTCGGCTAGGGTTAGGGTTAGTTGGAAGGTTGCTTCTTAAAGTAGGAGTCTTATTAGGAGTTGGTTAAAAGGAGTCTTGAGTAGGAGTCCTATTAGGAGTTGGGGTTTAGAAGCTCTATAAATAGTCATGTATTCATTCTCTTTTGAGAAGCAATAGATGAATATTTTTAGCAGCCTTTGAGCTGCAACCTAGAGGAAGGAACTCCTATAGAGTTCCAAGGAGGTCGATCCCCTAAAGAGATCAACCCCAAGCTTAGAATCCGTAAGGGTTCTAACACTTGGTATCAGAGCAGCGTTCTTGGCGTCTCGCTGCCCTTCCACAACCATCCATCAGCCCTTCACAGTCGCCCAAAACAATTTTCACAATTGCTTAAAAGATCATCGCCGAATTCTGCCGTCATCTCCACCATCGCGGATCATCCTTTGATCTCCTCATGAATTGTAACAGGTTTTGGTTTCCTACCTTACTGTTGCTGCAATTTAGTTATCCTTATTCAAAAATCCAACCATCCATCAGCCCTCCACAGTCGTCCAAAGCAATTCCTATAATTGCTTAAAAGATCGTCGTCGAATTCCGCCGTCATCTCCAACACCGCGGATCATCCTTTGATCTCCCCGTGAATTGCAATAGGTTCTAGTTTCCTACTTTACTGCTGCTGCAATTTAGTTATCCTTATTCAAAAATCCAAAAAAATATTCCTATATTGCTGCATAAACTTTTCGTCGCAAAGTTTTTATCTCTACGACGAAAGATGCACTGCAGAATTCCAGTCGCATAACACAGTTTGTTTGATTTTGCTACTGCGTTTTTTTGTCCAAATCTCTACGAAATTTTTATGACAGCTTTGACACTTCCTAACAGCAGATTTCCCTTTGGTTTCCTAAAAAAATTCTCAATAAAAACCACTGACCTTTTACATTCAAACTGCTACACTTTAGACAAAAAAATCTGCTGTAGTACCTATTTGTGATCCTCAATTTTTCTGAACCTTCCACCACCCCCATGCCATTAACCCATCAACAGAAAGAAGATAGGGACATTTCTAACCTACAGGTGTATGCTATGGCTTCTCAAGATTCAATTGATGCCAAATTTGAAGCATTGTAATCTCAGATTGAATCGAGGCTTGAATCGCACTTGGAGGAAAAATTACGCGCTTCGTTTGTAGAATTCAGAATTGGACAACCGCTGACAACCGCTGAGTCCAACCAAATTTTAGCGAGGAGAGAGCTCAGAGAGGTCTCCAGAGAAGGAGAGACAACCCTCGGACATGCTTCAGCCATGCATGAGGGTGGACTTCCCGCGATATGAAGAAGGAGACCCGGCGGGGTGGATTTCGCGCGCTGAACGTTACTTTCGCTACTATCGAACGTCAGATGATGCTATGGTGGAAATTGCTGTGATCCACCTTGAAGGAGATGTTATTCAATGGTACAATTGGCTGGAATACAATCATAAGGCTCCGACGTAGAATTAATTTAAGAACGCACTACTGAATCGTTTCGGACCTACGAAGTATGAAAATATCGATGGTCAACTCGTAAAGATTTGACAAACTTCTACGATTCAAGAGTACCAAACCAGGTTTGAGAAGCTATCCTACCTTGCTCGTGATTAGACTGACCATCAATTGTTAGGAACATTCATCGAAGGACTCAAGCCAGAGATAAAAGGGGAGGTTAAGGCGCGGTAGCCCCGTACCGTGACAATTGCAATTTCTTTCGCCCGAATACAAGAAGAACGACTTAACCAAGATGCTCGGAGGATAAGAACCTCTCCTAGGCCCGTGGCATATAAACCTCCTTCTGCTCCCAGTCGTCCTTCGTTGTCAAAAAAATTGACAAGAGATGAACTACGTGACTGATAAGCAAAGGGTCTTTGTTGACATTGCAACGAGCCGTGGAACTGCGATCATCGCTGCAAAAGGGGTCGCCTCCTATTGATTGAACCTCTGGAAGACATGGAGGAGGAGGTCCAAGAGCATGTGGAAGAGGTCACGGATGAAGAACAACGACCGGTTGATATTACGATGCATGCCCTTACCGGTTACGCGAACCTACAAACGATGAAAGTGGGAGGACTTCTGAAGCAACAACCTATCACCATTCTTATTGACATCGGGAGCACTAATAATTTTATGAGCAGCAAGGTTGCTTTCTGGATGGCCTTACCTATCGAGAATTGCAGTAGGTTTGACGTTAAGGTTGCTGGCGGACGAATTTTGAAGTGTGATCATAGGTGCCCGTAGGTGAAACTATTGCTGCAGGACCAAGAGATAATTATAGATTTCGTCCTCCTCCCTCTTGATGATTATGAGGTCGTGCTCGACATCGAATGGCTGACGACATTAGGTGATGTTTCTTAGAATTTTGTGAAACTAATTATGAAATTTTATAGTACGGGGAAACAAGTGATACTACACGGGAAACGTGAGGGCGATGTAACGACGATTTGCACACAACGAATGGAGAAGGTTTTGCACAAAGCATGCAGCGGCTTTTTGGTACAACTTGAGCAGCGAACTAAGGGAGAGCCAACAGAATTTGAAGATCCAAACCTACTTGCTATCTTTTCAGATATATTTGACGAACCGCGCAACCTACCTCCTACTCGTTAGCATGATCATTGTATACTAATTCTTCTAGGCAAACCTCCAGCAAATACTCGGTCATATCGGTATCTACATCTCTAGAAGGATGAAATAGAAAGGATTGTAAAAGAGATGCTCGAAACAGGAGTTATTCGGTCAAGTTGCAGCTCCTACTCTTCACTGGTGCTCCTCGTACGAAAGGACGGAACATGACGAATGTGCGTTGATTACCGAGCTCTCAACGACATAACCGTCAATGACAAATACCTTATTCCAGTAGTAGATGAATTGCTTGATGAATTAAAGGGAGCATGAGTCTTCACAAAGCTGGATTTTCGATCCGGGCATCATCAAATACGAGTGTGTGAAGAAGATATACCGAAAACCGCCTTTCGAACACACAACGGCCACTACGAATTTTTGGTAATGCCTTTTAGTCTCACCAATGCTCCCTCTACCTTTCAAAGCCTTATGAATGATATTTTTCGGAATTATCTTTGTAAGTTTGTGCTGGTTTTCTTCGATGATATCCTTATTTATAGCCCTTCTCTTGAAAGTCATTTTCAGCACTTACGACTTGTTTTGACGATTTTGCGAGAATATGTTCTTTTTGTCAAAAAATCGAAGTGCAGCTTTCTTCAATAGAAGATGGAATATCTTGGGCATATCATGTAAGAGGAAGGTGTGGCGGTCGACCTCTCCAAAATTGAAGCAATGTAGAACTGGCCGACCCCGAGGAACATAAAATTGCTATATGGCTTTCTCGGTTTAACAAGCTACTACCGTAAGTTCGTGAAAAACTATGGAAATATCAATGCATGTCTTACTTGCTGAAAAAAGATGCTTTCCAATGGTCGGACAAAGCCACCACCGCCTTCGACGAACTTAAAGCCGCAATGGCGACAACGCCCGTACTAGTGCTACCCGACTTCGGCAAAACTTTTGTTATTGAAGCCGATGCCTCTAGAGTCGAAATTGGTGCTGTACTAATGCAAGGTGGCCGACCCCTTGTTTATACCAGTAAGGCAATACTCATTCCCATCTCAAGATGACTATTTATGACAAGGAGGTGCTCGTGATTGTGCATGCGGTGACCAAATGGAGACCGTACTTAATCGGGCGACGCTTTCAAATCAAGACTGACCATAAAAGCCTAAAATATTTCTTGGAGCATAAGATATCTTCCCCCGAGCAGTAAAAATGGGTAACAAAGCTTCTTGAATATGATTATGAAATAACTTATAAAAAAGGGAAAGAGAATGTTGTTGCTAATGTACTTTCGCGACTACCGGAGCAAGATGAATTTTCGACTGTTTCACTTCCGACCAGTGACTTCCTTGAGGATATTAAGAGGGAATAACAGGAAGATCCGGAGACCAGTAAGATTATAAAAAAACTGGAGGAAGCTCCATGCTCCGTGGCTCATTACAGATGGGATTCAAAAGAATTGCACTATAAGGGACGCATTGTGCTTGTGCCAAATTCTACTTGTATAAAGACCATCCTTCAAGAGATGCATTCCACACTTGCGGCTGGGCGCTTCGGGTTCCTTAGAACCTATAAGAGAATTAAGCAAAATTTTTATTGGGTAGGGATGAAAAATATTATTGCTAAATTTATGGCACAATGTGATGTATGTCAATGATATAAAGGCGAGACAGTGGCAAGTCCCAGAAAGCTGCAACCCTTACCCGTCCCAAACTCAATATGGACTGATATATCAATGGACTCCGTCGAAAGGTTTCCCTCGTCACAAGAAAAAGCTCAAGCAAGGATGAAATAATAATATGATCAACACAAAGGCGAAAGAGAATTTTCAGAAGGAGATTGGGTCTTCCTATGGCCCTAGCTATACAAGCAAACATTAATCCAGACCAGAGCATCTATGAAGAATTCACCTCAGTTCTATGGACCCTATCAAATTTTGGAGCACATTGAACCAGTAGCATACAAATTGGACTTACCCGCCAGCTCCCGAATCCATCCAGTCTTCCATATGTCGTGTTTAAAGTTCAACTTGGGACAAAACAAGACAGCCCAAAGCCATCTACCAAATATGACTACCCAAGGGGAACTCTAGACCCAACCGAGTGCCATTTTTGATCGACGGATCGTGACTCGACAACAACGACCCACTACTGAAGTGCTAATAAAGTGGGCGAACCTACCAGCAGAAGATGCCACTTGGGAGAACTATGACGACTTGAATATCAAATTCCCAGAATTCATGGATCATTAGCCTCGAGGACAAGGCTGATTTGAAGAGAGCGGCAGGTCTGTTAGGACTCTAGTTAGGAGTCCTAATTGAGTTTCATTAAAAGGGGCATTCATGTAAAACCTACCTAGTCGCCCCTATTAAAGAGGTGAAGAGGTCAGCTAGGGTTAGTTTGGAGGTTGCTTCTTAGAGTAGGAGTCTTATTTGGAGTTGGTTAGAAGTAGGAGTCTTGAGTAGGACTCCTATTAGGAGTTGAAGTTTAGAAGCCTTATAAATAGTCATATATTCATCATCTTTTGAGAAGCAATAGATGAATCTTTTTAGCAGCATTTGAGCAGCAACCTAGAGGAAGGAACCTCTATAGAGTTCTAAGGAGGTCGATCCCCTAAAGAGATCAACCCGAAGCGTAGAATCCGCAAGGGTTCTATCAGGACACCTTACAATGCCTAGAGCAACAATAGATGAAAATAGTTAGGAATTTCATTAAATATTATGTATTGTGTGAATTTTTCTAATGATGGTGTTAAATTTTGTGTTTTCATAGTTAACCCTTTTCTTTTATGTAAATGGAACTAATAAGGAAGGGATTTCATCATATTACTTTGTTATCAAGAGTCGAAGGCTGTACCAGTTATCTTAGCTGACATCTTTAACAATATATATATATATATATATATATATATATATATATATATATATATCTCCTTATTGTATTATAAAATAAGGATTTGAATCCTTCTGTCAGTTTCCAGCTTTATACCGTATGGGTTCATATGGCTATGAGATTCCAATAGATCATTAAAGATGGATTGCTGCTTTAAACTTTGTACAAGCTCAGTGCCAGAGATATGCAACAACCTCACATGCATCTTTCAGGTGCAAAGGCAATTGCAGCTGAGAATTGAAGCTCAGGGGAGATACCTCCAGAAGATCATTGAAGAGCAGCAGAAGCTAAGTGGTGTCGTGCAGAAGCACAAATCCTCCCTTTCTCTGCCAATTTCGGACAGCAACAGAAACCCATCACCACTCAAGAAGCCAAGGACGGCTGTCGTCAATCAATCCTCAGATGCTGCCCAGGAAACACCAAAACAAGAATCCAAACCTGATCTCTGCAGTGATCATTGTATCATCAGTTGTGGTTTTGGAGCAGGAACGATGCTGGATGAGGGTACTGGTAGCACTCAGCAGAACCTCCCGAATGAGGTGGAGGTGGGTACTGAAGAGCTGGGTGTTCACAACTGCTCCGTTGTGAATCTGTGATGATGAGAATTTGATTAGGTTTACGTTTTGTACAATTCATTTGTACGTGTCATGCCACTGACAACTTTGATGGAGATGCCACTTTGGTTGGTTTCTTAAGCGCAATTTCTAGTGTCCCCTACAAAGTGTTTTTTTGTAAGTATCAGTTTAGACAGTGTTTTTTTTTTTTTTTTTTGGGATAAAGTATAAGTGGTAAAGATGAGATTTGGTTGTAGAACTTTGCTAAGCTATAAATTTCACTAGGCCAAAATATTGGCAAGTATGTTCGGTATATCATTATTAAACTAATATTTTTAACTGTAATTTAGATTACATTTATCAATCTTTAAAAATATCATAATTAAAGGAATATAGGATTTTCTTACTAGGTTTACAGTTCTTATAAAACTTATCATTATGATCAGATGGGAATGAAAAATATGTGGGGGCAAGCCCCACATGACATGAGGCATGATGATAGAATAGTCTCATATAAATGATTTGATTTTTATCATCAGTTAAGTGGTAACCACATGCGACAACAAGGCTTGATGTGGTAGGTGATTAATTAGGATCGTGATTCACAAAGTCTTATATGATAACTAAGTCCCTTTTTCTTTTTCCATTTTCAAAAAGTAACAACGAAAACTTAAACCAAGTAAAAATTCAGTTTAATCTTAGTTGCATTGGCACATAATTATCAAAATTAAATAAGATATTGATTTGATTAAACATAGTTCAGTAAATCATTGACTGAATCTATATATATATATATATATATATATATGTATATATATATATATGTATATATATATATATGTATGTA